AAAGCGTTCGGCCGTGTTTTTTATCAACGCCTTCTTTCTAAGCTATCATCTTTTTGCCTCGACCAAATAAGTTATAACCGTTTGCATAGATTCGTGACTTTCTTTTTTCCCGTGTACAGGTCACGTCCATGATGATCATGAATCTTCCTTAATAAATGTATCTCCTGGTGTTCCCCTGGGGTTCGTACTTGGGCCCTTACTCTTTTTAATATTTATTAATGACATCCTCATTGGGATTTCTTCAAAAAACCGCTTTTTCGCCGACGACTGCGTCATCCATAACAAAGTAACTTGTGTGCAAAATAATAACCAGCTTCAGGAAGATCTAGAGAAAATTAACAATTGGTGCAAAGAGTGGATTATGTCATTAAACAAGTATAAACGCAAACTAATCCACTTCACCAAGAAAAAAAACAAACACTGTCATTTAATTACTTCTTGTACTCCGATCTGATTGAGACCGCTACTGTGTATAAATACCTTGGTGTAAGACTAACATCTGACCTTCCCTAAAATAACCACATTGAAGTCATTACTGCCGATTCATCTGGAACTCTTGGACTAAGCAGACGTAACTTAAAAAGGGCTCCACCCTTTGTTCGTAAGCTAACCTTGGACACGTACGTCAGACCAAAAATAGAATATGCTTCAACCATCTGGAATACCCATCGACTGTACCTCATCAATACCCTGTAGAGGCAGTTCAGAACAGAGCTGCTCGCTTCATTTCATCCACTTATGACTTTTTTTTTCAGTGTCTCAGCGCTAAAAACTGAACTAACCATGTCCTCTTTGCAGCTTCGCAGAAAAGTCTCTCAGCTGTGCTTTATTCACAAAATCTACTACCACATTCCCGACCTCAAAACCACTTTGTTATTACCCCCCGACCGAACATCTTCTCGCCTCAACAACGTCTGCACCATCAAGCACATTTCTGACTCTACTAACGCTTTCAATTGGTCATTCCTTTCTCAAGCCATCAGCCACTGGAACAGTCCCCCATCCTCCATTGTCACCATCTTGGACCCTGCTGATTGCTCCTCTGCAGTAAAACTACACCTTTCTTGGCCCATGTGATGGTGTGCGGGGCTAGGCAGATAGGTGAAAACCCTTACGCAGAGCGCCTGCCGGGCCAGACTTGTACGTAGTTCAACTACTTTACTCAAGTTACTGTAGTTTAACTACTTTTCTGGGTAGTTTAAATTAATTACATTTAATTTTTAATTTTTAATTTTAATTTTTTAATTTTAATTTTTAATTTTAATTAAATTTTTAATTTTAATTTTTTAATTACATTTATATTCTAGTAATTCGTAGTTTACTTTAACTACTTTTCCGAGTGACTTCCACTCAAATTACAAATTACTTTCTAATTTTAGTGGTTGTTTTGCCTATCAACACAGAAAAGATGTCGGAAGGTCAGCTGATATTTGCAGAGGGGGAAGCATGCGGAGTAGAAAAGGGGGGGATGGGAAGGAAGAAAGTGATTTAGATAGTCCAAAAAACCCCAAAATTTTAACGAGCCCCCCCACTGCAACAACACTGCTACGAGGCGCGGGGAGCGAACAGACACGACGCAAGAGAGGTCGAGTAACTGTGGGATTAGCTCCGAATAGTGGCGTTTCTTTGTATTCCGAAGCTCAAGGAGACTTGCCGCATTTGAAGAAAGGGCTTGTCCCCGCTTCTCTCCAATGTAGGAATTCTTGCCCACTACAGGAGGTGCACACACTGCTCCTTTTACGGTGCAGGCGATAGAACCCCTAACAACGACGCTCACGCCGGATGGGCTGCTCGTGTATCACTCGAAGCGCGTTAACCCACCCCCGCGCCTGCGTTCACGCCGCTTCGCGGTGACGGTGTGCGGCTGCTAATTACAAATCTATTAACCCACCTAGCCCCCCCACCCCCCGTACACGCCGCTTTGCGGCGTCCGGTCGGCAACCCAAGCCCCGCTGCCCCCCATGCACTTCCGTAAATAGAGTCGATACGATTTAGTTTAGCGATGTTTCGTCAACAACATTCGTTTTTTTAGTGTTAATGGTAAAAAAGAAATGTAAATATCGCCAAATGCCTCGACAAAACAAAATGTTCGAGAAAAAAAATAAAAAGAAGTAAGCCGGCCCACACCATAAATAGAACCGGGGTCTGACACGTATGAGGCAGACATCTCACCACTAACTTACGCTACCTCTTCGGAAACTCGCATTGCATCCGCTGCCTATGTTGCCGGCGGCAGCGCCTATCTCCAAGCAAGCAAGCAAAACTTTATTTTGTGTAAGGGCCTACGTCCTGGTCTGGACGGCCCGTCCGGCCCATGTCTCGCGGATGGATTCCGTTAGGTTACCGTGTAGCCTTGTTCGTGGGGCAAGGTTCCACAAACCAGCCAATCCGGCGTGCGTGAGCACCGTTGCTAGGGTTTGTATCGCCTGCGCGTTAAAAATATGCCCGCGCGGGTCGGGGGGCAGTGCCCTTGGTATTCCTTGGGCGCCGCCGGCCTGTGTCTGCTCTGCCCAGTGGCGGCCGTTTCAGGGGGGGCAAAACGCATGCCTTGCCCCCCCACTCTGAGAACTGGGGGGGCAAGTGCCCCCCTTGCCCCCCCGGTTGGTACGCCCATGTCAAAGTTTTAATAATATCGGATGCGTGTGCAAATTCTGAGAAGGCAATTTCCAAGGCAATGGCGTTTGAAGCAGACGATTTTTGCTCGCAGCGGAGATTAGCTTTTCGGGTTGGCCGGAGCGGGTCACGTGAATGGTGTGACGTCGCCGTGTCGTCTGCTGCATGATGCCGCTCAGGCAATTTTTAAAAAAAAAGTTACGTCCTTGTATGGCACAAAACTTATCGCATATTATTCTAAAATGTTTCATTATTATGTCAAAAATGATCTCCATTCCGCACATCCCCACAAAACTGAAGAAACAACGATTTTCTCACGTTCTCCATGCATTTCTGACCGCAGTTGGAACCTCCGGGCGTTCGCCGCTAGCCGCCGAGAGACGGCGTTCTAGATTGCGCTACTCTGCTCCGAAGGAGCTATATAGTGCTCTAAAGCCGACAACATCGCGTTCCAATGGTTTGTTTATGGGCGAGGGCGAGCTTCTTGCCCACACCCCCATCGCGCATGCGCGGCGCCGGTGGCGTCCGCTAGGGGCGCTCCGGTTTGTTTGTAAACATGAGTTGGTGTATAGGCAGCCGGCAATGGCCAGGCGGCACCACGAGAGTACTGCATTCAGCGCCACAAGCGGAGGCGTCTCTGTTACTGGGGCGGCCAGTTTACCCGTCGGGCCGTTGCGAGCGGCGGCGACCCCGATTTCAGCAGTCCCCGTGTGCACCTGCGTGCCATGTCCCTGGCTCTTTTATGCGTCTTTTTAAAACCATCGGGAGCCTTGATAGGTCCCAGTGTTGAGAGAATATTCTAGAGTCGTCATTTGGACACCAGTTTTAGTTGTCTTCACTACTTGTGGCCGCCCGATCGGTCTGTGCTTCGCTCGGGAAGTGACACAACACAACGAAAAGGCAGCGCATGGGTTTATTGTACATCCCGGTTGTCCGGCTTCGAAAGCCGGCAGTCCGGACCCGCCGGCCCTATTTGTCGCCTTTCGTTCAGAGATTATAGTCGGAGCCCATGTCCAGGCCCGCGGATCGCCCTTCCCACGCCAGTGCTGCGTAGGCTATCTGTTCCGGGCTATCACAGCCAGAGTCTCGCTGCGGAACCACTCCGGGATCGGCATGGACTTGGCCAGTATGGTCAGGGTTCGCCGCTTCCGCCGGTCCTGATCCGAACTTCGATGGTGGAATGCTCCCGGGAATCGCCATGGGCCAGACAAGCCAGAACGGCTCTATCGTTCCTGCCCGCAGTGATGTGATTGGCCTAACCCATTTTGGCGCACGTTTCGGAGCAACCAAAACAGTGTTTTGGAGCAGCAAATGTGGCCTTTGGAGCAACCAAAACAGTGTTTTGGAGCAGCAAAAGCGGCTTTTGGAGCAGCCAAGACAGTGTTTCCGAGCAGCAAAAGTGGATTTTGGAGCAGATATTCTTAGGACAATAAAAATATTTGTTTCAAGTGCTTTACAAACGAAGGGCACTTTGTGTTGTGTTGTGTTCCGATGTGACGTGTTGTGGCGGAACTCACTGCTTCTGTTTTTACTGCTCAGACATCCCACAAGTGTACAGTGCTGTAGGCATTGCCAAGCTATTTCGAAAAACCACTTGCCACCGTTTTACCCGTTCCCGACGCGCCAGAATTTCGTCAAAAGTAAGAAAACGTAAAACAATGAATTGCAAGCGTCCCAGTTGGTGCCTCAGTCACGCAATCACGTTCGCATGCGCGTGAGGCCAACTTCGGCAGGCTTGCTGTTGGGCATGCTTCGTCGGGCGAACGCAGACAGTACCCAGACAACACACAAAATCCCTGGGATGTCCCAAAAAAGTCCCTATGTGGTCTTCACGTCCCATATCCCATTGCAGTTATCCCTAGGATATATCTGGGACAACATAATGTGGACAATCCTGAAATCTACCTCAACGGGACGATTGGGGGATGAGACTGACTTTTTATTTTCTTTACCGGTAGGTATACTTTGAAAAGGCATCTTGATATAGAAATTAACTTTGACACAAAAGAAGCCATCTTAGACCTTATTTTGCCAGAGTTTGGCGACGCGTTCGAAGCTCATCCAGGCTCATCGAGATCGAAATTGGTCTTGGACGACTGAATCCAGGGTTCTGCAGCACGATCGTTTTCGCTCCACGCGCATCCGAGCTGAGACGCGCCGACCAACGTTGCGCCGACGCACCGCTCTTGGAAAGGGGGGAGGAGAATTATCCTTCCCTCTCCCTCCCACGCTCTCCTCCCCGTTCCTCAAAAGAAAAAGAAAGTAAAGGGGCGACAAGACCCTGCAACGATATAAAGAAAAAAAAAATTTATACAATATTAAAAAAAATATATATATATATATATATATATATGTGTGTGTGTGTGTGTGTTTACGAAATTTGTATTTATATAAACTGAATTGAGGGGCTTGGAATCCTGGCAACCTTGTCGATAGCCACCACAAGTCATTCGGTTCGAAAGCCACGATCCAATCCAATCCAATCGGAACTTTTCCCTCTTTTTTTTTTATAGCTGTTTCGCGGAGTTTTTTTTAGGGAGGCCTTGTAGGTACTACAACGGGTTTGCTATCAAGAGGAGCAGCGACATGGAAATGGAAGGTAATCGTTTATGTTCAATCATTTCCGTGCAGTGCGAAGCTTATTTTCAATCCTATCAAATAGAATGTTTCCGCTTTAAGAGCGCTTGTGTTAGGACTATCATACGTCCAACTTCAATTGATGGCGGCAACTCCTTGAACGTGTGAACTACGCGCCTGTTTTAAAATGCATAAGCGTCCAAAAGCCACGTTTTATAAACGCGCTAGTAAAGCAGCTCGCGTAGACTTGTGCGGTATTTTGTTGGGTGATGTTGGTGACGTAGTCGTGGAAGGAGACCAAAACATTTATATGGCACAAGAAGCGGAACGGGAAGTTCCCGAAGCCAGGGAGGATTATATACCCAGCGGATTTCCGCCAGAGCAAGATCACTCATTAGATGGGTATGCGAGTTCACAGAACGCAATTGAGGACCTACATTCCGATTATCAGGTGGCTGCATCTGTGCGCCACGATGGTTCAGGCACTTCCGAGCATCAAGGCTACGTGGTCAATGCACGTGGGCCGATTGAGCAGCAAGTCAGAGGCTGGGCCATTGACACAGCTGTGTCTCATCGCTCCCTTAACGAGCTGCTCAAAATTTTGCGCTCGCATTCTTGCTTCGCTTCTCTCCCTGGGAGTGCAAGGTCGCTTCTTAAAACACCTAGGAAGGCAGTTGTAGTGGTCATGGGAACAGGAAAGTACTGCCACTTCGGCTTGGAAGCAGGGTTGGAAGACACTCTGAAGCATGCACGTGACATACCAGACATCATTACCATCAATGTTAACATTGATGGCCTGCCCCTTACGAAAAGCACACGTGACCAGTTTTGGCCCATCCTGTGCCAGGTGAAGAACTGGGGGAAATGCGATGTCTTCCCTATTGGTGTGTACTACGGAAAGTCCAAAGCAGTGTGTTCAGAGGCTTTCCTTCGGCCTGCTGTGTTAGATATCAACCAAGTACTAAGCGAAGGTGTTGTGCTGCAGGGAAAACATGTACGAGTAGAGCTCGCAGGATTGGTCTGTGACGCTCCTGCAAAATCGTATGTCCTTGGCATCAAAGGACACAATGGCTATTTTAGCTGCACCAAGTGTGAGACGGAGGGGGAATTCATCAACGGCAGGATGTGCTTTCCCCAGCTTGATGCAAAGCTCAGAACAGATAAAAGTTTTCGAGATTGTGCTCAAGAAGAACATCATGTCAAGGGAACAGAGCTGAAAAAGCTTCCCATTGATTTGGTCATGCAAGTTCCTCTGGACTTTATGCATCTTGTGTGCTTAGGTGTCGTCCACAAGCTACTGAGATTATGGCTTAAGGGAAGCAACAGGTATCGCCTGGGAACAGCAGTACGAGATGCAATTTCTTTGGCTAACCTTGAAATTCAGTGCCATATCTGCTCAGACTTTGCTCGAAAGCCCAGAAGTCTCCTAGACTTGGACCGCTGGAAGGCAACGGAGTTTCGACTGCTCGTGCTGTACACAGGCCCAGTTGTGCTTTGCGCAAGGGTTCCTGAGCCATACTTTTTTAACTTCATGGTTCTGCACTCTGCAATCACAATTCTCAGCAGTCCTAGGTACTGCCGGGAGTTCGTGGACTACGCTGAAAAGTTGCTGGTCCATTTTGTCGAAACATACATGTTTCTGTATGGGAAGGATGGAGTATCACATAATGTGCACAATCTCATCCACTTGGCCAATGATGTGAGAGTTCATGGGCCATTGCAATCATGGAGTGCATTCCCTTTTGAGAATTTTATGGGATCACTGAAAGATCTCCAGAGGAAGCCCGAGAAGCCGTTAGAGCAGCTGCACAACCGTGTCATGGAGCGCCGAGGTGTTTCAACACCAAAGGATCTCAACAGTGAAAGGCATTTTTTCCTCCCACATGATAATGGGCCACTGCCTCCTGACTGTGTTAACCCTCAGTACAAAGCTCTCAATCTCCCCCACAAATTCTGCCTCAGGACACGCATGAATGACAACACTTGCATCTTAGCTGATGGAACCATCATTAGAATTCAAAACTTTGCTTTTTGCTCAGCGTCTGGCCAGGCACAAGTGATTGGCAAGCAGTTCAGGGAAACAGCTGACCTGTATACTTACCCCTGTGCTTCATCTATGCTCGGCATCGTTCTTGCCTCTGACCTCTCCGGCACCAGCTCGTGGCCACTCTCGAGCATTGTCCAGAAATGTGTTCGAATTCCTTTCAAAGGGAAACATGCGATTTTTCCTCTGGTTCATCTGCAGTAATGTTTCCCTCCATCTCATTTCTTTTTCTCATAGGTTCAAGTGGTGCTCGTTAGTTGACTGTTATTTCCATTCTTTTTTCAACCAGATGGCAAAAAGTTTGGGGTGTTCCATTTTCTTAAGGATGACTCTGTCGCTGTTGTCCATGCAAACTGGGTGAAAGGCTCCGTTTGTTTTTGGCCCAATAAGACAACAAGCAAGAAACTTAAAGCATTGACCATGGAAGGCAAGCTACCAGAGCTAGGCTGGACGGAGTTACCGTTCACTTCTCTTGGATGGTATGGTAAGTAGAATAACCTTATTTCCCTAAATGCTTGTTGTGAGATTTATAACATCAAGAGTTGATTATTGCAGACAGTTACGAGAAGGCAAGACTGAAACTTCCCATTGCTGAAGAGGCGTCCGACCTACGTAGTGACGTAGAATTAGGGCGTGGAAAAAGAAAAAAGACTAGGAAGCTAGTGTCTAGCGATTCTGAAGTTGAAATCCAAGAAGGCTACATTCCTCCTAAACCACCCACACCACCCTGCCTTGGAGAAAGATCTGACCAAGCAAAGAAAAGTGAGTAGTTTGAAGACATTGCGTTCTATTTTATGAAAATTTTCCTTTCTTAGAGTAATTCAATCCTTTCATTTTTTTTTTTGTGGGATGCTAATGGAACTAATTACACATATCTCTCCAGATTTTAAGCTAGCTATAGCTGTTTATTCATAAAAATAAAACATACTTAAATAAAACAGCCAAAATAAATTTTTAACGGAAGTCTGTGATGGCAACAGTCTCCTATCTCATTGGGAGAGGCAAAACTGCCGACAATATTCATCTCTGTTTCGAGTACAGTTGAAAGCCTCTAGTATGAAATAACCTGTTTAACAGAGAGGATAATCTGGTTCTACCCAGTTGTTTTAATATCTTGCCTAGGGTGATGTTTACTATCAAGAGATCTGTGTAACAAGGTGCTTTTGCAGTTCCAGACACTTGGTTGGACAGGTGTTTGACTGGATGCGGCAAGTGCTACATTTACCGGCTCATTGCTTTGCAAGGCATGCCTTTTGCACAAGCGCTGTCACTACCAATACTCATTACAGAGCATGGCGCTCATATTCATAACTTTGCTGTCTATCGTGTCATGCAGAAGTAGATCAGAGGTTTACAATAAGAGCTTGCAGTCACTGATTTTAATAGTTTAAATTGATCTGTAGAAATGGGTTTTGATAGCCCTAAAAAAACATTTTTAATATTTGGAATGTAGCTGGAGTGTTTTTGTATATTCAGGAGCCTTTTATGTTGCTGCAAGTGGTCATAACACGTGGGAAGTTCATATGAGCTGGTTCTGATGACTGACTTATTGTCAACTGCCATCATATTTTGGGCAGTTGCTATTTATCCTTTATACATCTCAGGACAGGAAGTGTACTGTACATCTCCTTAACCATATCTGACATCTAATATCAGAGCCACATGATGGTTTCCTTATCAGTTGCAAACATCATCTGGTATCGGTAAAAAATGATCGCCTGGGACTACTCGTCACACTCTCAGAAAGTAGTGTTGAATAATTTCTAGAAAGCAGAAACACATGTAGGTACATGAAAGACCTGTATGTGTCTATCTCTTTCTTTGTGTCATCTTTTGGTTAATTAATTTAGTGTTAAGCAATAAGCTCAACTTCTCCTTATAAAATGGTCTTCCATGTTTATTTCTGATGAGCTTCGGCAGTAGCTTTGTTGTCTCGCAGACTTCTTCTATCTGATAAAAGTTTCCTTATAGTATTCTTTTTTTCCAAAATCAGGCAGCCGTCTAATCTTTTCTGGACATGAAGCTGTGGTGCATTCGAGGTCACACGGGGCAGGTCGTCAGAAGGCGAAAAGTATTAAACCATCAATCACATTTCTCTTTATGTCTTACTTTGCATTGAACTGGGGTTTTGTATGAGTATGTTTTTATTTTCCATCCGGATTTGGTAGAGTTTTATTTTCCTCTTAGCACTGCTTTTCAAATGCTGTTTATTCACATCATTTCTGCAGAGAGCCGTCCCATCTCTAACAAAGGTCAGGCACTTCGGAGGATTTCGAGATCATGCGAGCAGTCTAGCCAGGGTGTGCACGGTAGCGAAGCATACTGTTCTTGTGCTAAATGACCTAATGATGTATCTTGGAGTTGTGTTCAATATTGCAAATGGGCACTGAAATTAAGTTTTAACACACCTTTACTCTGAGCCATATACTAGAAGACAGTTAATATGCTCGCTTTGAGCTTTGTAGCAGAATGTGGGCATTTCATGTTTTCCTCGCGTTGTAACTATATGCTGATTGTTCTGTTAATTCATCCAATGGTATTTATTGGGGCTGTTTGAAAATGCTTACTCTACCAGCTTGCATTACTTTTGTATCAATTATGTCAACTTTTTATTTTTATGCAGGCAGCCGTCCTGTCTCACGGGAGCGCGAGTCCTCGCATGGAAGGCAGCTCAAATCCCCGGAGTGGTCCAGCCGATGGGCCCATGGTAACTAGGCACCTTTTAAGTTTCACATATAAATGATGTGCATGAATATCTGTGCAGAGTTATAGGGGATTGAAAAAATTTCAAATATGTAAAATAAAATGTCCTGCCGGATAACTGAACATCTCCCACACACCCTAAGGAGTGTTAGCAGTGTGTAGATCTTCTAGTAACATGGTTAAATTGAATTGGAGGCATGCTGTTTTTTCTCAGGCAGCGGTTCAGTTTCTCGTGAGTTTGAGGAACTTCCGTGGAGGCGTTCACTCTCCCCTAGGCACTCTACCCAGCAGGCACATGGTAATTCATTATTTACTGTCTTTCTGCTCATATGGTTCCTGCAGTGATGTCGAGTCACTTTGTCTGAAGAGAGTAGCAGAGTATTCTAGCTAGAACCCATGGGACCATAAGAGTTTTCTGCATTGTGCTGAAATTTCACATGCTTCTCTGCAATAGGGAGCTGCCCTTCCCATCACGAGGTAGAATCCTCACTCGGGAGGTGCTCAGCAATGTCTCCTGAGGCTCTCAGTCAGCATGTGCATGGTAATTGAACACACATGTTCTCCTTTGAAAATGCTTACTCTACCAGCTTGCATTACTTTTGTAGCAATTATGCCAACTTATTTTTATGCAGGCAGCCCTCCTGTCTCACGGGAGCGCAAGTCCTCGTATGGAAGGCAGTCCAAATCACCGGAGCGGTCCAGGAGTGGGGTCCATGGTAACTAGGCACCTTACCTTTCAAGTTTCACATATAAATGATGTGAACGAATATCTGTGGCAGAGTTATAGAGGATTGAAAAAACTTTCAAATATGTACGTCATGCAGGACAAGTGAACATCTCCCACACACCCTAAGGAGTGTTAGCAATGTGCAGGTCATCTAGTAACATGGTTAAATTGAATTGGAGGCATGCTGTTTTTTCTCAGGCAGCCGTTCAGTTTCTCGTGAGTTTGAGGAACTTCCGTGGAGGCGTTCACTCTCCCCTAGGCACTCTACCCAGCAGGCACATGGTAATTCATTATTTACTGTCTTTCTGCTAATATGGTTCCTTCAGTGATGTCGAGTCACTTTGTCTGAAGAGAGAGTGTTCTAGCTAGAACCCATCGGACGATAAGAGTTTTCTGCGTTGTGCTGAAATTTCACATGCTTCTCTGCAATAGGGAGCCGCCCTTCCCATCACGAGGTAGAATCCTCACTCGGGAGGTGCTCAGCAATGTCTCCCGAGGCCCTCAATCAGCATGTGCATGGTAACTGAAAATATGTTCTCCTTCTGCTAGCATATTTGTGATGTTCTGGCATTTTATTGAAGTGCATTTTCAGACCACATCGTCTCTGTAGCAACTTGTTCATTTGACCATGTTTATTTTCTATTGCTTATTTGACCAGGCACCATATTATGTGCAGTGTACATTACACTGAGTTTAAATGCAGAAAAATTAACTGAAAGAATAAAAAGAAAAGGACGATCACAGACGACAACGTTCTTTATCTGCTAGCATGGTATGTTTCTTCCCATACTTAGCTATATTATGACTGGCAAGATGGGGAACCTGAAGTGCATTCTGAGTGCATGCTACTGATCATGTCGATGTTTTACTTCTAAGCTTTCACTTGAAAAAGTGGGTGAGTTAGCGTTGTGCTTCCCCAAATTTCTTCCCACCAAAGTTGGCATTAAAGTTGGGATACACTTGCTCGTTAAGTTTCTTTATCAGTGGTCATTGCCAGAAGTTTGTAGCACACCTGCGTACTTTAGGGGGTATGAATTCCACTGTTTGAAAACTACAGTAAAGTGGTGATTTGCGCCTGTTGGTTCATAGCAATAGAAACACCGCCGGAAAATACAAGGACTAAGATGAGGGTAAACGAGGCACTCTCAACTGTATATTTTGGTAGGATCGCCTTCTCTTGTTTCCCCTTGTCTTAGTCCTCGTATTTCTAGCGCTGTTTTTCCATGGTTTTAAATACTTTTATAGCTCACTATGTATCTTAAATGGAGTTGTGTATCATTTCTCTGTCAGGCCCTGTTCCCAGCGCAGGGCGGCCGCGTGATATTACTGCTCATATGCCACCAGGGGCAATTTCGGGCCCACAATGGACAGGTAATAAATACTTCTATTTTTTTAGAAGTGAGACCTTCAATCTTCCCTAGGGCCTTGTTTCAAGCCTTTTGTATGCCATTTGTATGCCATACTCTTTTTAGATTTCATGACGCAGGTGCTGAGGATGTTGCATACACTCAAGCAGAGACAACAACAGCAATCAGAACAACGGGCACTCCTTGCCAACATGCTCGACAGTGTGCTGCCTGCACCGACCGAACCTCTTGTTGTTGCTCCTTTGAAGGATTTGGAGGAATTCTTGGCTTACGAAAAAGTCCTGGCTGCAAGTGATGAAAAGAAGCTGCAACTGGTGAGATGAAATTTGTTTTTAATTTCTTTGATAAAACTGACGGGGTATTTAGGCTCGCCAATATTTTTATTTGCACATTACACGTGAGAGCCCAACTACCCAGAAAACAACTCGCGGCTCGGAATTCGTTTTCTTTCCGACCGAGAACAGCCGATCGAGAACTGGCTAGTTTCAGTCACGCTCACTCTCTTCTCCGTGGCCATGTGCCGTTTTTTCATGGTTTAGACAGAACCACAAAATATAATCGAAGTCCTAGGTCATTGAAGGCACGCACACAACATTTAAAATAGAAAATAAATATGATACCCGTTTTTTGTGGCTTCTAAAAAGCTGCAAATGCGTTTGGGAGAAAAAAAGTATCACAGCTACGTGACTTCTGCCACCTATCCCCTCCTCTATATTTCTTCCTGCCCAGTCCAGTTTCGGTTTCGAGCAGTTGCGTTTTTTTACTTTATTAAAAATAGATGTGACACTAGCAAAATATTGATCTGACACCATAATAAACCGCCTGGCAAAAAAGTAAAAAAAAACAAAAACAAAATTGGGGGTTGTCACTGTTCCTTTAAAGGGGTATTCCGGCATTATTTTCGTGGTCTCTGATTTGCCTCAAAAATGGCTCAACACACCGATAGACACGGCTGTACCAGCTCCCCAAGTATTGTGTGAAAAGATGATTTTGCAAAGTTATTGAATTTTATAATTTCGTTTTCATCGTGTTTCTCAAACCGGGGGCCCCTACTGGCAACATTGAAGTGTGACGACAGAAATGGTACAAAGTGGGCAGTAAGCCATTTTCCCAACTGGTTACAAGACATTTGATGGTGGGAAAAGAATGCTTGGTAGCTGATTCACTAAGGAACGTGCAAAAAACACTTGAAATGCTCAGTTTAAGACTACCTGCGCGACTTAAAGCTCTGTACCATTTGTGACGTCACACCACTGGAGAGCGCGCGGAAATTTGAATGTTGGTTTCGGCATCATCTTCGTTTACGGTTTTGTCGATTGCTATTTATCAACTTCAAAAAAATAAATAGCGTACCGTGAACACTAAAGTCCTGGTAGTCAGAAAATGCAATTTGTTTGAGTAGCTCAAAAAATGGCCGGGGTACCCCTTTAAGGACAAAACATATACCGGGCCCAATTTGGGGAGAAAAAAACTAGGGCCTTCAGCGACGCAAAAAATAGCTATGCATTGCAGGAAGTTGAGACTCCGCCACAGTGTGACGCTAGCGGTGCTGATAGAATTCGAATGTTTGAGAATGTGATATTACTTGGATCAAAAGAAATTGAGAAAAAAAAACAAATTTCTTTTTGAGTGACGCCCACTAAGCGTACCACAACGAAAGAAACCCTTCTTTTGTTTCCTTTTTATAAGCCCTCTCACCAAAATAAGCTCCACAGGGGCCAAAATAACTTATCTTTTTTGAAAAAAGGCCGAGTGTACATGCGCTTGTGAAGAAGTGTTTCTTTCCCGTATCTTTTGATTTAGGTAATGCCATGTTCTCAAACTTTCTCATTTTGTCAGCACAGCTAGCGTCACATTCGGGCAGAGTTTCACCTTCCTGCAATGCTGAGTTAATTTTTGCGCCACTGAAGACCCTGGTATTCCTCTCTTATTCAGGCCCGACTGTCTGATGTTCTATTCCAGAAAAGGTACATCAAAATAATTGGCGGGGACGATGCAAAGGAAAAAACTTCCCGAATACTTAAGAAGCTTCTGACTTACGACATAGGAGTGGCCTTCACTTGGTATGGTACAAAAGACAAGAGGAGGTTCTGTGACCTGCAGTTCTGTCAGCTGATGTGTGGTAAGCACTTCAAAGGGCTCATGATATTTTGTAGAAATAATATTAATTGTACAGCTTTGTTTTTAAGGTACAGTATAGGTGATGTCGTACTAATACCTTACTGTCCTTCTAAATCAAGAGTGCTAAGTCACTAACACACAGCTCCTGGTACCGAGCTTCATATCAGTTAAACTGACTATAAATTTGGTTTACGAAGCATTGAATAAGGCAGATAATTGAATTTACTTTATTCAATTTTATGTAATGGACCATTTTCAAAAATCCCAAAAGGCATGCGAGGAGTGGAAGTATTTTCAGGAACGTCGTGTGTGTGCCCTCAGTCCCTCTCGCTGTTTCCATCCCATGACACTGTTGGTCATGCTGCATTCCCAAAGGAGGAGAATGCAAAAGTGTGGGAGCTGTATAAGCCCTTTTCCATGATAGCTCTTAATGCCACTGGAAGGCACTTCATGTTTTACTAATGCTCTATGGGGATGTAATGTGGGAAAGGAAAACATGCACAAGAGAAAGCGTCACATCTGAGCAAACCTAAAGCACCCTTTTCTAGTCGTGTCATATATTCATATTTAGTGCTGCGTCAAACCTATGAATGTTTTTCCAGGTGATAAATGGTAAGATCGTATGCCGCATGTCACAAATAATTCGCTTAAATTAAAAAAAAAATGTTGAGTGCTCTATGCAAGTTAAGCATACTGTCTGTTATTAGCAAGCATCTGGCTAGAGTTGCAGTGTTTGAGTATGAAGCGTTTTATAATGCAGCAACCTTTGAACTTTGAAGAATTGTGTCTCATACGTTTCACGTACGCAACACAGTTGCTCAGCAATTTGTCATATTTTTTTAAGTAAGCCAAATTAATTAGTTGAGGCTAATTAGATAACTTTTTAAATATTTACTTAGGAGCTGAAATGTCAATTGGAAAGTTTTAAAGCACCTTGAAATATTTGCACCATGATGCATATGCATGCTTCTGTTTATATGTAAAGAAATGCCGCAAGATTTTAGAAGAGTCCATGATTAAGGGGGCACATTGTCGTGGTATTTTGTAATATTTTACAGGTCAGTAAAATAAAGTATGTGAACTGTATCACATTGCAGTCATGTAATTCCAATGCTTCTTAATGCACTTTGCAAGTTTCACACTGACACCTCGGTTCTCAAATAAGTATTAATGTGAAACGTTCTCTGGTTCTACACTCTTAACATGCGGTATACTGTGTAACCGCAAGCTCGAAGCTGATTGGTCGGGACAAGTCGCATGGTATAGCTGGTGGAGATGAGGAAAGCTTGACGCTGATTGGATAATCACGTGGTCAACCGGCTAGACGTGGTGTAGCCGGTGCAGAGGAGGACAGGGCATGGCAGCAACGTAAGCCGAGTGTGCTTCCATCCGACATTGCAATGCTTGCAGGAGATGCACGGAAAGCTTGCGAGAAGGCTAACTAAAGCGAAAAAGAAATGAGTCTTTAACTTCAGCACTAAGCCATTCAGCCCAAGCAAGAGCCAGCGAAACATTTCACATAACCGCTTCACAATTTCCTAGCAATTTGCCAGTTTCTTAATAAGTTAGCTAATTACTCTTAAGTAAGGAATTATTTCTGCTTAATTATAAATTACTGGAACTCTCACAAGATGCTTTCTAGCATCGTGCAGTTCGTTTCATTTTTGTAGGGCACACCATTTTGGACACCTGAATATACTTGCTGTACTGAGCAGTAGCTTGCACCTTTAAGCAGCCAATGCTTCCTAGACAAATGTCACTTCTACTATTTTACTTAAATTGCCTTATATAAAATATATATCTTACAGGTGGCTTAACAGAACAACAAAACAAGAAAGAAGCAGAAGTCACTCTTAAAGATATTGAGAAAACAACAATGACATGGCTGCGCCATGCCAAAGAGCGCCTGGACAACTGCCAGAAAAGGTAAGCAGGCATACGATTAGGCTGCATGTGAAGGCTGATAGGCAAGTAATATCAGTACTGTAGAACTTTAATACAGCAGTTGCAAACATTTTACAAAGAACGAAACATTGTAAATTTGCCAAAATGTCAACACTGCACTTGTTATTCATCTGCAGTGTAAAAAAAATGCTTAACATTAAGATATCAAGTCACTTCTGTCTACGTTAAAGGGATGCTGAACCCAAATTGAGATTTCCCTTAACTATGCAGTAGAAGCAGCAGTCAACGACTGGTGCTTCTACTGCATAGTGGAAGACTGAATCCCTCCTGCTTCCTGACATTAACGTATTGCACTCGAATTAACCTTCACTCCTCCCCCTGGCTTAGCAGAACTCCTTGTGCCTTGGCTGCAGAGTAGTGGAGGTTAGGAAAGCTGTGACATCATGAAGATAGTTTTTATAAATGCTCACAATGCAAATCTTGTGTTCACAATTTTATTCTTTCTGCATTTTTTTTATTCAAATAGCATAATTTAGGGAACACACAAGCACTTTGCTACTACATATACTCACAGCTCAAGTTTGGGTTCAGCATAATTTTAAACTCGTCTCGTGGTGCAGGGTTTCTGAAGCCATGATTGTTTCCACGTGGAAGAGCTAGCACAACTTAGTGAATATGTATGCTCATAGATGTGTTCTACTTGCTTTGTAGGGGAGCTGCACAGATGGCACACCCAGAGGAAGATGAGGATGACTGAAATCTGGAATTGTTTTCTTTCCAAGTGAAGATGTGCTGTTATTTTAATGAACAGTTCCTTAAGCCTCGTTCAGGTTCCAACTAGTCAATAATTTATTTGTTTTGTAAAACAGACTACTTTATTTTTATGAACAGTTGCAGTCTGGAATTTTTTTTTAGTTCTCTAAAGAGGTGGTTTTATTTTTATGAACAGTTGCTTCAACCTTTTTCTATAAGCTTTGTTAAGTCACTAACGAGTCATTTATATCTTTGTTATCAGACTATTTTATTTTTATCAACAGTTGCTTAAGGCTTCTTGGATAAACCATCATGAAACCACTTACAACTAGTCTCTTTTTCTTGTGAAAGCAGACTATTTTCTTGTAAAAGCAAAAGTATGTTTGTAACACGATTTTATGATCCAGTGTTAGTGTTCTTACAATAAAATTTAAAAGCTGCCTTACCTTTGCATACCAACATCTTTGATTGGCATGACTGCTTGAGAAGTTTGCATCTCAAATTTGATAGATACTTCGTTTTAAAACATTTTTTGGAACATTAGTGGGTGAAATTGAGTAAGTGCACTTCAGACAGCTTTCATGACCACTGCGAACTATTTGCAGAGCACAAGTTCGTTGGCTTCTTTTGCAGGATTTGTGGTGAAGCCAGAACGCCGAGCTCCGATTGGTTCTGAATGAAGAATAGGGGGTAGACCTCAAGGCGGCTTGCTTTGAGGTCTACCCACGATCCTTCCATCGGAGCCAATTGGAGCTCGGCGTCTTTCTGATGTCACTGCAACTCCTGCGCAAGAAGCAGACAACTTGTTCTCCGCATGGGTTGCATCAATTGCCGTGATGGAAGGTGCCTAAAGCACGCATTCATTATGCTCAACTTATGAAAGTACTGGATGTTCATGAGAAGTGAGAACTGTTTTTCTCGCCACAGAAATAAGCTTATTCCATTCAGCTTGCCCAAATGTAGTACTAGTGACTGGGACCGGATGCCAATATCAGTGCCTACCGTTACTTGATCCAAAAATTTTAGACAATGTTTCGAAGCTTTCAACGAGGAATTTGCAGTTAACAGGACCTTTTAATTTACAGATGAATAGCACCTCCTACTGAAGAAAGCCATAATTGTTTTTTTCAATATTTAAAAGATTTGCATATATATATATCGAACCAGATAACAGTAAGCCTTTAATCTTTGGCGTCTGGTTCCAACCGGTAGTGCTACATTTACTCGAAAACCGAGCGTCCTGCGATGCATAGTTTATTTTTGTGGCGAGGAAAATACTTCCTATGAATACCCGGTATAGCAAGCTAAAAAAATGCAATGTCCCCTCTAGATCCCAGGCAGGATTTGGTGTCCCTAGTGAGTCCTACTGCCATCCCAAAAAGGACCTGCGGGATGTCGGCAGGATGTCTATGGGAGCTTCTAGTCCCATTCATTAGAGTCTCATTTGGGATGCTTTTGGGAAATTTGCGGGAGCTCCCAGGGACACCCTTCTCATCCTGAAGGTGACGTCCTTTGGGCATCCTTTGGACAAATGTGTGTCGTCTGGGTAGAGAGTTTTAGTAGATCGTTCCCATGACTCCGATAACGACACCCGATACTCCGCCACCACCTCCCTTGCACCTGCATAGTATCGTTATCAGGGCTATCGGGGGTATCGGAACGATCTACTAAAACTCTCTAATGTCTGTCCAATCGAAACCGAAATCATGCCCCTCAGCTCCGTCGCTAACTTATCTTCAAAATTGTACACAAAATGTAACTTTCGAGCATGCGACAAAAACAGTCCCGTGGCGCGTGCTTGCCAGGCCGGCAAACAAGGTACAAGCTAAAAACAAAAAATAAAGAACCTGAGTGCATCGATGCAAGACATTGCGAGCCAGCTTTAAAAAGTTCTTGGAGTGCTTTGTGCAACGACTGAACTCGAGACAAACAAGCACGCTGTGCTGGTTCAGCGTGCAGACATTGCCTTTTGTGCTTTAGCTCACTTCTCTTCACCAACTTTCTTTCACGACAGATTTTTCACGTATCGAGGTCCCTCTCGAAAGAAGGCCCGCCGAGAGGAATCTAGATAATCAATACTTTGACAGAGCAGTCTTTGAATTAAAGATGAATTTCCGTAGTAACGTACGATTTAAACAGGAACAGGAATGTTGATGAACAAGCGGCGGTACTTAGGTTGATTTTAGAAAGTACCATATCTGCAGTGATGTGGGGACGGCAACATTCGACGTCGCACGACCACGGTGACTGAAAGGCACTGACCAAATATAGTTTTCCCACGGCCGTTGCCTCAGCTCACAAAGTAACTCCTGCCGCGCAAACACGTGGTTTGGTTTCACAGCATGACGGCATCACTGGTACCCGGCACGCTAGCGTCCAAGACGCCGGGAAAACCATGCAAGACCCGGTGGACAATTGACGCACAGTACCTTGTGTCAGGCGGCCGCTTGCGCCACATAACACACGCCTGCTCAATTACAGTACTCAGTTTAGGTAGTTTCGGTTTCGAAAGGCGACCTAAATTGCTCCTTTGGCGCAGGCTTGGCGCAAATTACCGATATTTTGGCGAAATGTAGCAGGATGTAGCAGGGTTAGTCCCTTGGCGCAGTTTGGCGCAATTGGCGCAGCAATCACATCACTGTGCCCGGCCCCAGCCTCGTGCAGCGCGCTCTTCCTCTTTCCTCGCCGGCTGGCCCCGCTCGCGCCTCACTCGGCCGTCCTCTCCTCCCGACGCCCACACACACTAGAATAAAAGTTGGGTAATTAGAACCAAACTCCGCATGCTACAGAACCGTACGCACATTGCAAAGCCTGATGTAAAATGGCGACAGGCAACGAAGTGTACGTACTACGTGCAAGAAGGATATTTACGCTTCGCACGAGACTCAGCATTAAATTTGGTTGCTGAAACAAAAACTTTGTACTACGGAAATCCACTTTTTGAAAACTCAAGAGGTTTGGAAGGTGTTGGTTGCGACCACGCGTGCCGAAGGGCATTAGGAGTGCCGGAACGGTCCGACGAACCTTTCGCTTGAAGACCAGATCGCCCGATTCTCGACATCACAGCGAAGCAACAATCGGCTCGATTGTTCCTATCCTATTTCCCTAATGTGGCTGTCAAAGCGACTCGTAATACAACTTGTATAAATGTTATTTTGCCGGGTAGTCTGCAAAATGAGTTCGTTCCACCACTTTCCAAGCCTGCACATAGATTTTCGTTTACTTCCCCCCCACAGTTTCTGTAAAATTTACTTACTTGTTGTGTCGCACTGCAGTAATCCACTTCTGTCGCCGTGTCGCTTCCGGAGATCTCGGTGGGAATTAAGCCGGGAACACATTTGCGAAAAAAAGCCGAATTTTGTGCGAAAACCGCACATGAAAATCGCACGGCCGATAGGCTCCTCCCCTTTTCCGAAAATCGGGAGCGGTTCGAAAGATCTGCAGCGCCAGATATTTTCGCACGGCGCCTCCGAATCCGGGGCGGAGGAGCTCGGTGAGCGAAAGCCCGGAGCAGGACGGAACGAAAAGATACGATCGGCTCGCAACATGGTGGCTCACGCAGCTTCGGAAGCAGCGCAGGCAACATCGTATGCCATCCCTGCGTTCTCGTCTCAACCTTCGTAGAAAACCCCTTCTGTCTTTATCAAAGGGTGGTGGTACAAAGGCTCGCGTGGCATTCAACGAGGTTTTAATAGCTGAAGTTTTTAAGAGGCGCGAAATATGGGACGCCAGTTCGCCAGACAACCGCACAGCCTCCTGAAGTCTGGGCACGAAAACCGCAGTGCGTTGCGATTTCCGCGCCGCGCATTCCAGCTCATGTGGCTCGTCTTCCGAAAATCGCAAGCTACGATTTTCGCAGCCTCCGATTTCTCTCCGATTTTCGGTTCGTTTTTTCGCAAATGTGTTCCCGCCTTTAAGCGGTGATGTTCGATACTTGAGTCATCTTCGCGACTGTGGCCGTCTTTCGTGCAGCAGTAGCAACGTTTATTTTTTGGGAGAACTCTAGGAGTAGGCGAGATGTCACAGGAACCCGGTGAGGTTATAGAGACGTGAAGTTGGGACTTACCTTACGAAAAACGGTTCCAAAAAAGCTCACGCCGATCCGAAATGCAACGTTCTCACGTGGTTTCTGGGTTTCTGGATGCGCCCGCCCGCAGCCCCGCGTAGCCCTGGCCTACCCAGTTTCATTATTTTGCAGCCGCTAGATGGCGCAACGTGTAGCGCCGAACTAAGGCCAAACTGCATTGCAGGTTGCCTATACAGCCTATCCAGAACACGCTTTAGTGGCGCCCTCTCGCGCCGTCGACACGGAGCGCGACAGCCGTGAGCGCTCGCTGAGCTCACCTAGAGCACTATATAGCTCCTACGGAGCAGAGTAGCGCAATCCTTTGAACCCCGTGTTTTGCCGACAACATGGCCGACAGAGCGGCTCGGCGCGAGTCACGTGGTACTCAGGGTTCCAGGAGGCGGCCCGCCCTATGGGAGAATACATGGAGATCGATACAACACGGCTGATTAAAAAATGAACGGCGAGTTCACACTTTTCAAAACTAGTCTGCCTTGAAGTTAGTAAAGCACTAAACAATTGATCAAAGTTTTAATAATATCGGATGCGTGTGCAAATTTTGAGAAGGCAATTTCCAAGGCAATGGCGTTTGAAGCAGACGATTTTTGCTCGCAGCGGAGATGCGCTTTTCGGGTTGGCCGGAGTGGGTCACGTGAATGGTGTGACGTCGCCGTGTCGTCTGCTGCATGATGCCGCTCAAGCAATTTTTAAAAAAAAAGTCAGGTCCTTGCGGGGCACAAAACTTAGCGCAAAGTATTCTAAAATGTTCCATTATTATGTAAAAAACAATTGCCACTCCGTACACCCCCACATTACTGAAGAAACAGCGATTGTCTCACGTTCTCCATGCATTTCTGACCGCAGTTGGAACCTCCGGGCGTTCGCCGCTAGTCGCCGAGAGGCGGCGTTCTAGATTGCGCTACTTGGCGCTACTCTGCTCCGAAGGAGCTATATAGTGCTCTAAGCTCACCATCCCTCCTCTAGTTCACGGCCACTCAAGCAACCAAGGGCGTCATGAGGGAGGTTATTTTTTGTTTGTTTTTGTAATTTTAATTTGCCTATATCTTTAAAAATAAAGGGAATTTCGAGAGAAAAAAAAAGTTTCACTAAGATACTACGTTCATTGCGCTCAGGTTCGGTGCAAATAAAAAACAAACAGTAAAAAAGTCTTTGCAGGGCCCCTTTAAAGGGATTGTCCGGTCGAAACCGGAAGTACTTAAGTTCTTGCGCTCGTTGCGTCGAGGGAGCCTCCATGTAGACAAACGTTATCTTTATTTTGATATGATCTCCCGTTATTAATTAAACCTTTCATGAGCGTATGTACGAAACTGCACCCCGAATTTCGCCAGTGTCAATGGCTGACATCCGTAGGTGCTGCG